AGGTGAAACACATTAACCTGACTCTCTCCCTGTAAAGAACTAAGCGTCACTCATTTAACTTTGTTTTAGTACGCAATATTGACAACGCAATGTAACGAACTTTGTAAGATCGCGAGCGCTTTAAATTCAACGGCGATTTCAAAATATGTAACACTGAAGATGACGGATGTACCGTCCAAACATGTCTGGAAAATTAAAGAAAGTTGTTACGTTTATACGATTATGCAGTTCCTTTCTTATTGATGCAAAGCAACTTGGCAGCGAGTTTCAAAACAAAAAAGTGTTTCTTAATTGTCACATTAGCAGTGCTTGTTTATTCTTTCAATAATCAGGCGACCACTTTGTGGAATTGCTCTAATACGACAGATAATGCAGTTTTGCAGGGTGTATGTTTATCTGTTCTCGTACCAGCACCTTTAAATTTACTAGGGTTTTTTCCAGACATAAATGAGTGCAACGCTGCCAATAATAGCTGTCATGAAAACGCTTGGTGTAATAACACCCAAGGATCATTCAATTGCTTCTGTAAACCAGGGTACGATGGAGATGGACGCAATGGTACAGGTAAAATAATTTGCATGCGTTTGGTTAACGAATCAACTTTCAAGTTTTAAAAAATTGTGATTAGGGAATCTTTTTTTTTCTTAGGAGAAACGAGAAAACATAGAGATATAGGGAGGGCATGTTCGCAAGCTAAATATGTCTATTATATGAAATTACGTATATGCTAATTTCTCATTATTTACTGCCAGATTATTGCAATCTTTTTTTTAGTCTCGCTTGCGTAAGCAGCGAGACGCATAATCTGCAACGCGTTTTTCGTCGTATTTAGGACACAGAAGGGGATCATTGTGCCAGGCGTTCCTTGCGGAGAGCATGGAAACTGGGACTAAGAATCGTTGCGTGATCGAAGCCACGCATGTTTAGCGCAGAAAGTTTAGGAAAGATTCAAGTTAGAGCTTTTACGAAGCATGTCGTTTCACGAATTCTATCGCCTAAAAGCGTTGATAACTTTGGAACAAGTGAACACTACTGAGTGATCGAATAAATAAGAATCTTAATTAGCAAAACTGAGATGGTCGAGTGTTGTAAACTTTTATCGTACGTAAATGAATCTTGTGATGAGCATGCAGTTTATTTTCGGCGATGATTGAAATGAGGTGTCATGTAAATCACTTTTTTGATCTCTGGCAATGATTTTATTTCTCTAGAATTGAGGCTCTTGAATTTTCGTGTATTTATACACGCGTATAGCCTGCGATCGCAGGCAGATCGATTCGTTTAGACTTCCACTAAGAATGCAGTGGAATGCAGAAGTCGCAATCTGATAACGCTCGTCTGGACCTTCTATCACTCGTTATCTAATTACGCCTGATTTGACTTTCTATCACTAAAACTTACGCAAAGCACAGCGTTGGTTGAGCAAGAGCATCATGTCAGACCTTCGCTGTCGTCCGCATTCCGTAAGCTTTAGTACATAATACATCCTTGTTATCACATACTGTCCTGCGCAGAATTGATTCAAGACGCATCTTAACGAAAATTAATTAACATTCAGATATAGACGAATGCCAGATCAGCTCTCATAATTGTAGCAACAATGCCATCTGCATTAACACCAAAGGTTCCTTTAACTGCAGTGGTTGCAAATCAGGGTACAGT